TAGGCGATCATGTCTCTCCACTTTACTCTATCCTTTGCAGCTCTCAACAAGTTCCTTCCCTCTGCTTCCTCCCCCAGACCATGTTCTGTCATCCACTTGCTTAAGTCCACAAGGTAGTCACGCGTTGTTTTCCCTTGTCTCTCTTTCCGTCTATTCGACCTGTGAGTATCAGATTCTCCAGGCCCTTCTTCTTCGTTATGTTTCCCAAAAACCTCAGCTGCCTCTTCGTGATGTTAAGTATAAGCCTCCTCCTCGTTTGCAACCTCTCTAAGATCTCATCGTTGCTCACACGCTCGGTTCATGATATCCTTAGCGTCCTTCTGTAGAACCACATCTATGTCGCCTCACGTCTCTTCTTCATCTTTGAGGAAATCGTCCAACATACGCTGCCGTGAAGAAAGACAGATGTCACGTAACAGTCCAGTATTCTTTTCTTGGTGTCTCGCAATACGTCTTTAAAAAAGAAACCTTCAATGCTGTGTGATGTTTGTCGGTCGGCTAACCTTTGCCTCGGTGTGATCACCAATAACGTACAGGAAAAGATTCACATTATCAAAGATATTGATAAAGAAAGTAATGTAACCATTTCTACTTTATATATTACTGGCATTACCTTATAATAAATTGCTTATTCGAAGAATAATTCCATATCTTGGTTTAGAATTGGGTTTCCAGTTCCTTCAACTCCGTACTTCTGACGTCTCAGCTTGAACTCTGAAATTTTATTTAGTAATTATTATTATTTTTTCTTCTCCCAATATGTGGATATAGGCTTGTCTATCGTCCGGTTCACACTCCTCCCAGGCCTTTTGAACAGGAGTAGAGGTTTATCCCTTGTTTCCTGTTTAGAATTGGGTCTCCAGTTCCTTCAACTCCGTACTTCTGACGTCTCAGCCTGAACTCTGAAATTTTATTTAGTAATTGTTATTTTTTTCTTCTCCCAATATGTGTAGATAGGTTTGTCTATCGTCCGGTTCACACTCCTCTCAGGCCTTTTGAACAGGAGTAGAGGTTTATCCCTTGTTTCCTGTTTAGAATTCAACTCCGTACTTCTGATGTCTCAGCCTGAGCTCTGAAATTATATACATTAATTAAATCCTGACCTCTTCAAGTCGAGAATTAGCTGTCAATCTTTTCGGCTATCTTGTCATTTCTTACGTTTATACATAACGTAAGTAAACTTCTACATTGAGCGGCCGTTGAGCCTTGTATTGGGGGAAAATTCCTAAAAAAAAAGATTAAAAAAAAAAAACTTTGATGATTTCAACAAATTTAATTCCTTCTTCAAGTTCATTTGCAGCGATTTCCTCGGCTTTATTTTTGTTTCATTCCTTTTGAATATTTTCTATAGCCTTGACTTCCTTAAAACCTAATCCGATCTTCAGTTTTACGACCAGGTCAGGTCGGCTTAACTAAGCCCAGAACGAGGCTGTATGGAAAATCAACAGACGCACATACAAGATTAAGCGGGAATTAAATTAAACTTTCTTTTTTTTTTCCCCAGAAATATCCAAGAAGGATGTTGGGAAAGGGAAATGGCTACATTTTCCCAAATCTCGGTCAATGAATCTCATGTTGATTGAAGTAGCGTACAGAAGGATTTTTACACACACACACACACACACACACACACACACACACACACACACACACACATATATATATATATATATATATATATATATATATATATATATATATATACATACACCAGGCACGTGTTGTCAGTAATTATTCAGGTAGCATGTGATCTTTATGAAGCAAATCTACAAAAAAAAAAAAAAAAAAAAAATATTTTGCATTTTATGCATAATAATCAGATTAACCTTTATAATTTTGTTGCATTATGTGCATAACAAGGAAAATGTAGCTGCTGATCTTATTCGGGGTACGCATTATATATATATATATATATATATATATATATATGTTGTAGCATACCTACGGGCGATAATGTGCATGTCCCCGTTCACATAAATACAGTAGTAAATACTGTATGTTGGTCTGCAGTTGGGGATCCATTGTGGAATTCACTTGACTCACTTCTAGCAGCTGACTACTACTTCTACGCGCCGCTGGCAAATCTTATACGTGTTGTTCTTGTCCTAAGTATTATTGTTCATTACCAATCTTCGTGTGATTATTCTATTCAGTAACCTTCCCTATGTTACAACAATATATATATATATATGCAACACATTTTCATTCAAGCATGTTTGGTTAATAATTTAGACGTATTATGTCTATTTATTTTAGTTTTAATCCTTTCGAGTCCACGAATTAATTTCTTGGTGACTATAAAAAATCAAGAAAAAATCCTAAATTTTCTGTCAAATAATTATTATTTTGCCAAGTACTTTCAATCTCATCTCAGACCATCTTCAGCGGTTGCATATCTATGTACCTATGAACACCAATGGACATGTGCCAATCCTCATAAATACGTTGGGTAAAATGCTGTCTAAGTAGTCCACCACTAGCAGTGGTTTACCTACTTCAC